ACAACTATGAACTAGAAAGCAATAAATGGATAATGCCACTCTCGTAGAGAGCACAATTGCATTTAGCATATGCAACAAGCCTTTTAAACCTCTAGGTTATCCCTAGTGGATGAGTGAAGTCTCGTAAGGGTTTCCAGAAATGATACCCACAAACATTAAGCTCATTCTCTCAAAAGAGGAACCAATATTGCAAACAAGCATTGGGAGAAAACTACCTCAAGTATGCAATTTTTCAACCATTTCCAAGCAATCTCCCAAAATCTCAACATTAAGCAAACAAGTATGGTCCTCCACACATTAAGAAAATGATCATGCAAATCAAAACAACTCTAGAATCCTTTTTGAGTGGATCGGCATCAAGTATGTTGCTATCTAAGCCAACTAAAGAAACGATCACATCCTTACCTTCAAACTAGCACACAAATCTAGTACCGATCATCAAGACAAAGAGTGAACATTTTATTAAAACTTTATTGTTCTAGGTGCGCTTATTCTTTTCACTTGATTTTTTTTATTTTTTTATCCTAGAGGATCAAAGATGGAAGTATGGTGCAATGTGTTGATATATTAAGCTTTTTAGCGATCCATGAGGTCGAGCGTTAGGTCAATAACTCTTAAACCAGACGGCTTTAGGGCACTAGGTGTTCAAACACCCCTAAGGACTTACAAGCTCAAATTAACTAGGTTACAAATCAAAATAACCTCCATCTAATCATTTCCCACTACTCACCTTTTGAGAGAAGTTCTCACTTTTTATTACTTTAGCAACTTTTTTTTTTTTTTTTATAAGTTTAATTATTAACCCAGAGTTTGGGCCATCCACCTTTCGACGTAAGAAATTCAATGCTTGATGAGGCTAGAATCCCGGCTGCTCAATGAAAAGGGTTTGTTATCCACTTTTTTCAAGATGAAAGCTTTCAATGCACTACTAGCCCAATTGGGATATAACCAACTCAATAATCAACAAAACATGTACCTTACAAATGAATGCTAGTGTGCGCCTGTGTTAGTGTCGAATCCTAGAGTGAATCTCAAAACAATCACAAAATCAGGATGATGTAGACCATAAATGCAAACATGACATAAATCTTTCAAAAAATTTACTCCTAAATGGCATCCACAAGGCATACAAGGAGTATTTGTGATACTCCTCGGATCCGAGACGCGGGTTGATCAGGTCCGAGCCCAAACCCGAGGGAATATCAAACAATTAAGGTATTTTAAATCGAACACAGAATAGAAAATTAAGAATTTAAATAAAGAATCGAAAAGAAATATAAAATCCTTTAACCATAAATAATATTAATTTAATCCTCCAAAACCTTCAAAGTTACAACTTGGGAATCCAACTAGTGGACCCCTAAAGAAAATCTCAACTGAAACTGTAACTGGAAAAATAAACCAAGTCTAAAACATGGAATGAAATCCTACATCGTCGATAGAATGAATGAGAGTTTCTGCTTAACACGATCAAGCCTGAGACTGGAACCGTCCGATACCTGTAAAAATAATAAAAGAGTGGGTCAGGCCCACGAGCAAGTTCTAATCTAACTGCAATCCATACATTGACCTGATACGCAGATACACCATAGACACCTCACAATATCTATCTAGTCCATACATATAAATATATCCACACTAAGGGACATTCACTGGTCTATAATAGGGGTCTCAACCTGAATAGAAGGCAACATGCAAAAACGCACCCAAAGGTGGGTATGAGTACCTAGACCTAACAGGGTACATCTCAACCTATTATAACCAGCTACGCATCCACTGCATATACGCACCCTAACCAACGAGTCTGAGACTCAAGCTCATCTCGTGGTACCATAAACATATATATAAAGTCCGTTCAAAACCAGGGTATGTAGTTCAATTATTTATCGAACTGATATACGATAACAAATTAGTTAGTCACTTAACTTATTCAGTTAATATGACTTAACCATCATCCATTAATCCAGGAAGCCACTCAATTTAGTTGCAGTTGATTTGACATAAACACAATTAGGATTCAATATTTATAAATCCATTTCTTTAATCCGTTAGGTTAGGTTTAGGCGTTTTGAGCTAAACCGTCCTTAGTATGTCACTGTCCCATACCGGTGCATACAATCCTCCATATCCTTGTAAATTACATCATATATATAACAGTTTAGTAATTTACAATCCAAAACTAATATCCAAATAATTGCAGAAAAAAGATTAACAATCTACCAATTAAAAGCCAGTATTAATCCATGTAATTGTATCAAATAATTAATATTCTAACAATTAACATCCAAAACATGCATAGTTCAAATTTAATATAACAATGACCCTATCATGTATTTAAAATAAGTTTTATTAGCATACTGGATCTCCTTAAATTGCTAAAATTTAATTAAGCAATTAATCCGTCCTTCATCCGTTATCAGCATAGAAAATTTATCAATTTTATACTGTTTGTCTCATGGATCAACTTAAATCAATTCAAGGTTTTAATCACACCCTAAATTAACTATTTAATCCCTCGGTGAAGTTCCATTAAATTTTTGAAATTTAATCAAGCCATTCAGTTCCTTTATTCTGTTAATAGCACGTACGGTTGTATATTTTTACATTACTTCATCCTTTATCACAGAGACTTAAACCATGCAACAAGAGGTTTAATATTACTTAAAGTTAACCCTTTAAACCCTTTGTGAAGTCCCTACAACCCATCAGAACCATCCAAATGCTCAAATAGTGTCAAAAGTATCGAACAGTGCCGTAGAAACCAATTTCAGAACGTACAAAAGGTTGGAGCTTGCTCTTAAAAATGAAAGAGCAGGCTCTTTCTCACTTGGAGCAGGCTCCAAACTCCCTTGGAGCCGGCTCTTACTGAAGGAGAGCCGGCTTTTGCTTCCCAGAGCCGGCTCTTGCTTCCCAGAGCCGGCTCTCTCCCCCTTAAGAGCCTCCAGTTCAGTCTCTTTTCCGTTTCAATCTGTCTGCTCATTCTCTGATCAATTCCTACCCCTCTGTTGGTTTCTTAAACTGATCTTAATGGTTTAATACCACTTTAATAGCATGCCCAAGGTTTGATTGCAACAATTTGAATCAATTATAAAGATTAAACTTGCTAATGAACTTAACATGCGTTAGTATCAACTGAAACCACATGCACGAATTGAAATGGAACAAATTGCAACACATATTTAAAACAGAATAATAACAACCCTATGAGTTTTATATAACCCCAGTGGTGTTCCTATATTTTGTTTACAGTAGTTACAATCAAATACAGAGACTAAAGTTACAACAGAAATAACATGCTTAAAGGACAGAAAACTGGAACAAGACTTGCATGCACTGTAATAGATTTGAATTTAAGGCAAATAGATCATCAACAAAGCATATATCAAATATGTAAATCTCAGTACTGATTAATTAAACCCTAGAGACTATCTAGGTGCACAGAACATGTGCCAGAGGGAAGGAGGAAGAAAAGAACTTGCCTGCAGTTTTGGACTCAAAACTTTGTTGTCGTCTTCTTAACTTCTGGCAACCACTGATTACCTTCTAGCCTCCTTTGGTTTTGGTCTAATCCACCAAAATTCTCCCTTGGTCCTCTCTGTTCTTCTCCTTGATAGACCGTTACGACGCTCTGTTCTCTCAACTTCTCTCTTTACAGAACCAATACTTTGTTTTTCTCCAAACCCTAAACCAACGTAATCACTATATTTATAGACGTACAACACTAAACCATAATCCTTGTTTAATTAGAGCCAAAGCCCTAACATAAACCTTAGTCGGCCCATATACAAAACCTACGTTTAAAGAGTCGGCTATATAAACGTACTTAAGTCAATAACCTAAAATTATCATTACAAGAAATATATTACAAAAATAAAATAAAATAGTGAATGAACGAAAATATAATATCATTAACAATTTAATTCAAATACCATTTAATAAACCTAACCAATCAATTAATCAATTAAACACACCAAATAAATAAACAAAGGCAAGTAATCAATTAAACAACCAGAATAACCAATTAAACAAATAATTAATAATTAAACAAATAAAAATCCAATAAAATAATAATCAAAATACCGAGACTATTCTTTTAAAAATTAAGGGTATTATAGTATTGGACTCTCAAGTCAAGCAATTTTTAAATTCTAAGCAATATAGTTTTCAAGAGATCAAAATCATCACTAGTTATGGAACAATCATAGAAAATCCCTCCAATACACAAAGCATGCTTAAAATTTTGAATTGAAAGCAAACATTGCAATTAACACCCATTACCCCCAAACTTAAATGGCACAGTGTCCTTAATGTGCAAAGAGAACAAAAGAAAGAGTATACCAGTGTAACTAAGGCAAAGAATGGCCGAGCCACAAATATCCAAAGTGGGTGGTACAACCCCCTCCCCCCAAACTTGGAATTGACTGCGGTCATGAAGAAATGGCACTTGGATAAAACTCATCAGATAACAAAGGGATAATTATAGTGCACAGTGGACATGCAAGTGTAAATGAGATAGTAAATGAAGTAAAGAGAGAGGAATATGGGTGGTCCTAAAAAAATTTGGGCAGCACTCTCTCTCACTGAAATCACTGGGATGCAACTGATAAATGGAGTCAATCACAGATAAATGTATCAATATAAAATCCAGACATCCAAAAATATCATGCATAGAAAAAGAAAAATAATGTACAGCACATCACAGTATCAGGGCTAACAGACTGGCCGCAAAAATATCATAACAGTAATAATGTAACAGTAATGTATCACAGATATATCAAATAGGGAAAGTAAAGAGATAGAGAAATCAAGTAGATGAGGTAGGGCGAGTGGGGCGTGATCCCCGGATATCTCTGGATATGTCACGCAGCGCAGCTAAGACGTCCGCACGGAGAGTAGAAATATCTGCTCTGAGAGAGACTACTGCATTCTTCAATAATTGGACAAGCTCTCCTAGGCCGGGTGTCTGAGTTGGAGCCTTAGGTATGACTGGGTCAGGAGACTGATGTACGTTCTGAGTCTGCTCCTGTAAATGAACTGGTGACCCGACTGGAGAGTGATGCTGTAATTCCTCTGGAGGTTGTTGTCCAGGTCTATATCCATATGTGTTGCAGCTGCTGGTGCGTCTGCTAGATCGTCAACTGCTGCTGCCATCGTTGCCTCCTCTGCCTTTGCAGCCTCCTTAGCTGCTAAGATAGCGTCCTACTCCAAGCTCTTGATAAGAGCATTGTAGCTCTTGTTCCAATCCTTCTTGCTGTAGTAGTAAGCCCCTGACTCAGAATTTGAGTAATAAGATGAGCGAATGGGAGATACTTAGCCCGTTTGGGCTTGGCCTTGCTAATATAATCTGTATACAACTTCATCATGACACTCCAGATGAGTGCAGGAACAGAAAACCACTGCCCGGTGTAGAATGCATAAAGAGCTGCCAGAAAGTCTGAACGTCTCTGGATCTTATGGCCCGCCATAAATACATTTTGGTATAGGACCGAATCAAAGGACCAGAGATCGTCGGGCAGATAAGTCATAGTGGCGAAAGTCTCGCCATTTGCGTAATGGCCAGTCAAGCAATGTCCATGTCTGCATCAGATGGCCGCTGGAGAATGGGATAATCAAGACCTGGAGGGTAGACATGGGGGCATCGAGAAGATATGGCTAGTGTATCAACTATGATGCGGATGTGATAGCCATCAATAGTAGTCTGTAGCTCTGACAGATTACTCTGGGCCAGCCGGAGGTTCTGGAAGAACATCCGAACAAGCCGCGGGTAAACAGGATAAGTAACTGGCGCCAGAATAGCTAAAATGCCACATCGCTCAATATCGTTAAAAGCTGCAGGAGTTAAGATTGACGTGGAGAAGAAAGCTATGTCAAATACGAACTCATGTGACACTGAAAGACGTCTGAACTTCCAGATAGGTCTATCTCGGACCTGGCCAGGCTGTGCCGGTGGTGGGGAAGGAGAAGATATATGCTCAGCCTCAGCCGAATGGGATGAAAATTTAGAAGCAGTAGAGGCAGAGCGGTCAGACTGAGCCGGAGTTGGCTCCTCATACTCCTTTAACTGCTCAGGCTACTCAGCCTGCTCAACCTACTCTGGATCCTGGGCATGAGAAGGCTCTGCGGGTTCCTCTACACAATGTCGTACTCTCTTCTCATACTGTCGACGGACGACTGTCTTAACCCATGCCATGGCCTGCAAAACAGAAAAAAAACACTTCCAAAATAAGTTAGTAACAGATAATAGAGAATTGAAACACAGTATATAGAAACATGTATGTCAAGTAAGATAGACAACTCAGAATAAAGTACATGAATCTATACAAGTGATGACACAGCCAAGTAAACAGTGACTGAGTGAAACATGCTAAATAATGCAAGTATGGGATGCATCCAATGTGGAAAACACAGGCATTGGGTATTAAGAAACTAGCATGAACACTATAGATGGTGTGTGAAGTGTGCATATGCAAATCTGTGAAGTTCGATCAATCATAACTTGAGTGAGATCGATCAGGACTAAGTTCGATCGATCTTTCTCTGATCGATCAGAGAAAACTTCGATTGATCGAACTGCTGTGAGAAATTTGAAAAGTCACAGATTTGTAACGTGGATGACACGGGGGGTGCATAAGCAAGCTTGTGGGTCCCTCTACATATCAACAACACAAGAATGGTCACTTGAATAGGCACGTGACCCCTAAAATCGAATTCGGAATCAAATATATACAAAAATACATAGATATATATACATGTGCTTCATTAACTCAAAAATGGAAACATTCAATCATGGAAACTTAAGATCTAAGCATGGAAAACATCTAAAACATATGATTGAAGCTCAAAATCCAAAAATACAACTCAAAGCTCACCTAATCGAGAAGAGAAGTGGAGACGAAGGAGAGATGATGAGATTTGAGATGAGGAAGAGAGATTTGAAGCTCTAGAAGCTTGCCGAAGGTTCGCCAGAGGTTGGGAAGAAGGCGGGCAGCGGCGAAAGGGAGTTAGGGTTTGAGATTGATGTGTAAATCGATCAAAATGACCCAAGGGTTCTATTTTTAAAAACTATTTCCGACATGTTCGATCGATGTGGAAAAATCTCAGATCGATCGAACATAGATCGATCTTGAAGGAACATAGATCGATTTAAGCTTTAAACTGACACAGTATTTTTGAAATTTTTTGAAAAATATTAAAAAATATATTTTTGGATTTTTGAAGATAAAAATAAAAAATAAAAATAAAATGTTTTTGGATAAATAAAATAAAATAAAAATAAAAATAAAAATGAAAATCAAATAAATTTTTTTTTGGAGTTTGTGAAAATATTTTTTTAAAATAAAAATAAAGTAAAATAAAGGAAAAATATTTTTGTATTTTTGAAAAATTCTTTAAAACTAAAAATATTTTTGAAATTTTTGAAAATAAAAATTGAAAATATTTTTGTTTGTTTGTTTGTTTGTTTTTTTTTTTTTTTTTATAAATAAATTCAAAATTAAAAAAAAAAGCAGTTAAAGTCAAAGTCAACAAAGGGTCACAGATCAGTCAATCCAAGATCGATCTGAAAGATACTTCGATCGATCCAACAGGTGAAAACCTGCAAACAAGTTCGAACGATGCACAGAGAGGCCTTTTTCATGGGTTTCAAAATTTTTTCTAAGTATAGAATGAAGATTGATCTGAGGAAAATCTCGATCGATCTTGGAGCACTCAGATCGATCTGAACTGAAGTTCGCTTGGTACACAGAGAGCTGATTTATGCAGGAAATTCTCGATCGATGGAACTGAAAGATGATTGGATGCAGAGATTGATGTTCGATCGATCGAACCTCTTTTGAGATTGATCGAACAGGCATAAAATGCTTAATTTGAACATAACATGGCATGCATTCTCAATCACAGTTCCTAGCAATGTGTATAAACCCAGAATATATCTAGACGACGCAAGAAATGAAAGGTAAAATAGAAATGGGGGAGGAATAGGGTTATAGCCTACGAAACATACTAGTCTTTAACGTCTCTAACAAGACGTTGGGCTCTTTTAGTCTGGATCAAATATTTTGTTATGCATCCCCTCCTTGACGGGGTGAAAAACACTTTGAACCCCACCCAACAAATGGTTCTCTAAAGAACTTGTTGGATTTGATTCAAAAGGAATTGACGGTCCTTGGTCTATGCAACTCTTGGGCTTCCATGCTCTTTCAAACTTTGCTTTTGAAACAACATTCTTTGCTTTCAAGTTTAAAGATTGATCTTTTGAAGTTTTATGTTCAAGCAAAGACTCGACTTTATCAAATTCATTGGCTAAACACCCTTCTACAATATACATTTCTTCATGTTTGTCCATTGAATTCGAGGTTAGATTAAAGATATTCAACTTCACCTTCATATGGCCAAATGAGCTTTTCATTATCCTTATCCTACAATTGATGTTGACATTTGCGGTTGCCAAGAAAGGACGGCCAAGGATAGCGGGAATTTGGCTCTTGGGATTTGGAACCAGTTCTGTGTCAATGACAACGAAATCAATGGGGAAAAAAAACTTATCAATCTTAATCAAAACGTCCTCTATAATACCCTGGGCTTTTTGATGGATCGGTCGGCAAGTTGTAAAACCACCGACGTTGGTTTCAAGTCTCCTAAGCCCAATTTGATATACACTGAATATGGAAGAAGGTTGACACTTGCTCCTAAATCTAAGGGAGCCCGATTAATGACATGGTCACCTATGATGCAAGAAGTAGTAGGTGAACCAGGGTCCTTAAACTTTGGGAGAGTGTTGTGTTGCAAAATAGAGCTCACTTGCTCGGTCAAGACCACTTTTCTTGGTGTTTGGCTCTTGTTCTTTCTTTTTTGGGTGCAAAGATCTTTTAAGAACTTGGCATAAGCCGGAATTTGCTTAATTGCATCCAAAAGCAGAAGATTGATCTTCACTTGCCTAAACATTTCAATGATTTCATTGGTCTTGGTCTTTTGTTTGTCAAAAGAAATGGATCCTTTCAAGGCATCCGAAAATGGAGCTTTAGGCTCAAAAGCTTTTTCAAAATTTTTCTTTGAAGAATATTCAACACAAGAATTCTTAGAATCATTTTTCAAATCATTATTCAATTCATCTTTTAAATCATTTTTGACAACTTTCTCAACAAGATGATCATGCACATGCAATGAAGGAGGAATGAAATGTGAAACGGGACGGGTGTCAACTTTTGGTTGCACTGATTCACTCTCTTCATTGGGAATACTTGCTTGGTTATCAACAATTCTCCCACTTCTCAAGATCGTTATCGCATTGACATGCTCGATTATGTGACCTTTCGATGAGGAATGAGTCTCCATAACACATTATTGCTTTGGTGGTGCATTCAAATGCATCTTCCCTTTCTCTCTAGCATTCAATGTACTAGCTATTTGCCCGACTTATTCTAGCTTAGCAATGGATTGAGAACGAGAATGAAGCAATTGAGTGTTCATCTCTAGAGTGCCTAGAGCGGTCAACACTTTCTCCTTAAAAGCAGGACTCCTTAAGTTTCCTTGAGAATACGATGATTGGTTAGGGAAATGAGAATTTGAAAATTGATTTCCATGTGATGATTGAAAAGAAGATTTATAACCTTGGGAACCTTGGCTTTGCATTGGAGGTGGAACATACCACATTGGGGAGTGTTTGAGCCTTCCCCTTGGCTTTTCCAAGAGAAGTTTGGATGGTTCTTCCACCCAGGATTATAGTGTGAGCCATAGGGATTATTCCCTTGGTTAACAAATGTAGTATTGACTTGTTTATGGTTTTCACTTTGCGCATGTCCATGAGGACAATTGGAAGTAGAATGTAGAACACTAGAGCAAGTCATACAAGATTCATTAGATGCATGATGATGAACATGATTAGGGGAGGAAGATACTTGATTCGCCAAGTTTTGGTTGATCAAAAATTGATCAAACCTTTGAGATAACGATTTCATTTTTGGCGGCTATGTCATTAGTGTTGTCAACTTGATATAAGCCAACATTCTTCCTTCCACCTAGATTTCTACCATTTTTGGAGGACAATGACCTATGCATGGAATTCTCACTCATGCTTTCATACAATTGTCACATATCATTTTCATGCTTGTCAAGATAAGAACCACCCATAGATGCATCAACCATACCCTTGT